TTTCACTAGCCCTTCAAGATGCTCATTTTCCAACTTTTCAGATCTGTGTAAAGAAACTATAGTTTTTCAGTTGCATTTTGCCAGCCTTGCTTTTATATAGGGTGGATATAATCTACCACTGAAATGCTTCACGTGTTTAGTGTTACCTCTTCATAAAAAGATGCTATAAAGGCTTGTTATTGGTTAATTATTGCTATATGCAAGAGCCAGGAAAACTGTGTTTGTGAGTGTTTTGTAGCAGTTGGTAATAACTCAATTGTTCAGATATAACTAGAATTGTAAAGAAACACTGACTAGTGATGAGCTGTTACGCAGTACGTCTGCATAGATAAAATCTGCTTTTTTTTATTATTATTATGCTTTAGGTCGTAAATTAAGATGTATACTTTTGGCATTTCCAGTTTGGATGTACAAGATGCTACTCAGCCCTGTGTCCTTGGCAGGGGTTCTTGAAGAGGCAGGCAGCGAGGATATGCACAGCAAGTGGGAAGGCCTTGCTGTTCAGAATGGGGCCCTTATTGGCCAACAGGTAGCTAAAAATTCGTAGAAGGTGCTTGTACTCCATCTTCTTTTGAAGAAATTGGTAGAAGGTGCTTGTACTCCATCTTCTTTTGAAGAAATTGGTAGAAGGTGCTTGTACTCCATCTTCTTTTGAAGAAATCGGTAGAAGGTGCTTGTACTCCATCTTCTTTTGAAGAAATCGGTAGAAGGTGCTTGTACTCCATCTTCTTTTGAAGCACTGAGCTGGTGTAAGCCTCGGCTGGCTGAGGGTTCCCTTTGGAGGGGGCAGAAATGCAAGGCAGCAGAGATGGGGTGTTGCTCCTACATCGATTTTGGGTTTCCAGGCTGAAAGGACTGAGCCCTGACCCTGCAGTGCCACAGAGCTGCTTCCCAGAGGCCTGGCTTGAACAGGAGGGCCTTGCCTGGAGAAACAGAAGAGGCTGGTGGGGCAGTTTCCAAAGGCCAGGACTGCCTCACCTCAAGGGAGACATGGTGTGACAGGTACTTCACGCAAGGGAAGGATGCAAAATTCACAGCGCAGAAAACGAGCGGGAGGCAGAGCCTGCAGCGAGGGCCTGAGGAGAAGCAACCACCCCTGCTGCTCCGGGCAAGGGAAAGCAGAAGCAGGGGCAGGATCCCTCCCTGCCTGGCAGGGGAGCACGGCCCGCTCCAGAGCGGGGCGAGATACCCCAGTGCCCGACCTCCCCATTTTAGCCGCGGGGCGAGCTCCGCCTGGGCGCGAAATGGCGCCCGCCTCCTCAGCCCCGCACGGCGCCTGCGCGGCTGGGACG